GAAGGGACCAAATTATCTCAAGAACTAGGACATTAGGAATAGCATGAATTTCTATAGTAAAAAGGGAAAGGTCATTCACTTAAGAACAGATAGGAGTAACCTCTGCTTTAAGCTAGAAAATTTTACATTGGGGAAAAAAAAAAGGAAAGGAAGGATTTATATATATTGTTATGGGCAGGATAACTGAATACTGAGCTGTGATATAAGTGGAAAGCAGCTGCTATCTTAAGCTCTATCAATGAAAACATTTGTACTAGTGATAGGGACGTATTACATGTTACTTATTAGAATGTAACAGCAATTGCCTATTACTTTTCCTGTGAAAATAATTTCAGCTGAGAGTACATGTAGAACATTCTAAGCACTTCTTGTTACTCACATGCAGAAAACATGGACTGAAAATAGATGGGAATGAAAGGACTATTCAAATCAATACAGAAACAAAAAGGGTTTTGTCCAGGAGGATAAAAAGCAGCCTGATACTTCTATCCTAGAAAAGTCTGAAGGCTATGGCTGAATCCCTGTAAATCCACAGGCAGAAAAAAATGCCATACAAGTTTAAGGATTATGGTGTTACAGGCCCAAAATAAAGCAGTCAAAAGTACATCAAGGCTGAAGACTGGAAATTACGTGTCAATCTATGACCATTAGCAGAGGAATGGTAGTATCTAAGGGGCCAAACCCAAACATTTTTAGAGCTTAGTTCAATAGATTGATGACTACCATAAGAAAACAGTTGCTCATGATAGCAGGCAGGACTGTGGTCCTAAGGATTTCAATAGTTCCTTTTCCATCTTACACTTCAGAAATGCTGCAGAACTACGTTAAGCAGAAATGAATTAAGAGAACAATGAAAATACACAGTGGCTACTTCTTAGACTAAAACTAAAGAGTTCTTAAAGAAAAACTTTTCTGTTTGAGTACATTTATACCTAAGATTAAACATTACTCTGAAAGGTGAAGCCCCTCATTGCAACATCAGAAGGTATTTTGATTCTAACACTAACGGGCTTTTGAAAATCAAAAAGACAAAAAATCCCTCTAAAACCTACACCAAAGATTTCAGGAATGTTGTTTCTAAAATAAGAACTGTGTCTAGTGTCAATGGCTGACAATTATGCAGAAAACTACAGATTATTATACTGTTATGACACTGAAATACTCAGGCCCAGTATTGCAATTTTATGTTTTTATTAGATGCATGATTATGTCAAGGAATGCATAAACAGAGAGGAAGACAAAAAGCAAGATTTTCAAAGGCACCCAAAACAGTTTATCAATGGAAATTAGAATGCCTAATGGATACTATCCCTTTTCATATAGATTCCATAATTTCTCCAATTAATGATGTTTATAGGGCTACCAGTACATGCAAAAATGCATGCAATCATAATAAATCTGGGGGTTCTGTCAGAGCAACTGCTCTGCAATTGGATATATTCTTTCTTTGAAAGATTCTTTCCCTTAAAATCGTTAGTCAAATTTTGCTTTGACTAAAGAAATTAGCCTCATCACACCTCAGTCAAAAATCCATACTTTTATAACACAAAAAAACCATTAAAACAGACTTATTTTTCCACAATGACCAGAAGTGGTAGAAAATCTCAGTTTTTATGGAGGTATCTAATTTAGTGTGACAATATTATTCTCCTAAACTATCTGCTAACCCCAAGTTAGTCAGCCTGCTCCCAAGAACTCTGCCTATAGAATCATAGAATAGTTAGGGTTGGAAGGGACCTTAAGATCATCAAGTTCCAAACCCTCTGCCATGGGCAGGGATACCTCACACTAAACCATGTCACTCAAGACTTCATCCAACCTGGCCTTGAACCCATTCCAGTGTTTCACCACCCTCACAGTAAAAACTTCCTCCTTATATCCAATCTAAACTTCCCCTGTTTAAGTTTTAACCCGTTACCCCTTGTCCTGTCACTACAGTCCCTAATGAAGAGTCCCTCCCCAGCATCCTTATAGGGCCCCTTCAGATACTGGAAGGCTGCTATGAGGTCTCCACACAGCCTTCTCTTCTCCAGGCTGAACAGCCCCAACTTTCTCAGCCTATCTTCGTACAGGAGGTGCTCCAGTCCCTGATCATCCTCGTGGCTCTCCTCTGGACTTGTTCCAACAGTTCCATGTCCTTTTTGTGTTGAGGACACCAGAACTGCACACAATACTCCAGGTGAGGTCTCACGAGAGCAGAGTAGAGCTCGATCTGCTGGTCACGCTCCTTTTGATGCAGCCACCTATATAAAGCACTGTTTCTATTAAACACTCCAAAGTATTACTTAATGTTTAAAATAACTTCCTCTTAACTATGCCAAAGGGGCTGGAATAAGTGGTGGAACGAATTTAAGGAGAATCATACCCAAGGACGTAGATTTCAACATTGTAAGAAGATGCTCATGGATCATTCCAACTTTCTTCAGCACGAGGAATAGTCACCTCTATTGTCAGTCACACCTTGCCAGGTCCTATTTTGCCCTTTACTGGCTTTTCTCCCAAAATACTCGTTAAAAAATTCCCGACAGTGGGGCTTTTTATTAAGACAACCAATCATTATGTTGCACTTTATTAGAATATGCTTAATAATTTGTGATATTCTGTAGCAAGAAAAGGATTATAAGGAATAGAAGGCATTTTAACGAATGGATGAATGGCAGCAGAACTCATCAAACTCTCTTTGAACTTTATGTTATAATTCTGGCAATATGATGGCCATGCAAAGAGCTTCATAAAGCACTTAATGTTGTTAATGAATGTTGACACTTTACAGGTAGAAAGTAGTGACTATCCTCATATTTGCAGGGGGAATCTATTAATCTATTATTCTGTCACTAGCCATGATAATTCTTATGAATATTTAAACATTTTTTTACCATTGGCTTACAGTTAGCTATGTCAGCCAAAGAATGATTTCCAAGTGATGTAGGGAGGCAACATGTACATTGTATTTCACAAGCACAGGCATAAATTCAACAGTGAAAAACTCATGATATCATGAACAGAGTTAAAAGAGAGAGACTCTTAAGTTACATATTTGTTGGTGTTTGATATAGATAGAGTCATAAAAGTTAATGATGGAAAAGAACTGAGCCAAGATTTTGAAAAATGGCAATAATTAAAATGAGGCTGTTAACTGTGCTAAATATGAGTGCATATTTAACCAATTAAATAAGGATCACAGAGATTTTTTTCAGAACGCGGTAGCCGCCATTAAATTTTAAAAAGTTGATTAAAAAGTTAGTTGCAGTGGAAATCAGGCTACTAGTTTCCAATACTAAATATAAACTTGGGAACCTCATTTTTTTAAAACATTTGGCCTTGTTACACTAATAGCTTGTTGCCACTCAGTGATACCTTTCATCCTTTTTTGTGATGGATTTTTAAAGGTACTAATGGGATGCATTGTGTTTACTAACGTATCTGGAAAACTGTGGTGTAAACTAGTTCTCAGAGTTCTTGACCAAAATGGTGACATTTCCTCAAGTATCTGAAATTGTTTAAAGGTAATAATTCTTGACATACCATTTTGCTGTTTGCGAAATGCGTGCCCTGTGTTGACTGGGAATACACGTGAAAACCTGGAAAGAGGCACAGGCTCAGAACAGTTGCTTCTTGGAAACAGCAGTAGCTGCTTCCATGGAATATCTCCAAGAAAGTAAGCAGTGTCATCAAAAATGCTTTGTCTTTGAATTTGTATTCATTTTAGTACAATACATTTTTGCAATTACAGACATTAAAAAACATGTAAAGTATCAATTATTTTCCAACCCTAACTATTCTATGATTCTATCAATTCTTTCTGCATCAGTAAAGCTGCTAACAGTTTTCTAGTATATTGGTTCAACCTGAGTATCAATTCTGTTTTTTAACAGTAAAATAGGGGGAAGGACAATTTTAGACTGTTATCAGTCATGGTAACAAAGCTGAGAGAACGCAGCAAAACCCACCTTAAGAGCTGAGTGAATGGTTGGGCAGTGAAGCTACAGTGAGCTCTGCCCTGCTCTGACTGTGCTTGAGGGCAGAACCACTATTACCAAGTTCAAAATCATCTCCATGCACTGCAGTCTGTACTACATAGATATGCGTCAAGCTGAGCTCAGTCTAACTGAGGAAGGGGTTAAAGACTGAAATATATGGAATGAAAAGAAGAAAGGTAAAGAAATTCAGCATGAACTTGTTAACGTAACAGATAATAAAGGCATTAAAAAAGAAAAAATAAATATTATTTTGATATGGGAGAGTTTGCCATGACATGATTGATTGACAGAATCTCTTTTACTAGATAAAAAACGAGCAAGACCTGATAGAAAAAAGTTTAAGGGATATCAGGGCAGGCTACTTTACAGCTGACATGGTCTCACCACCCTTATGTGGCACCACCAGTATGTTCCATGAGCCCTTAGTGATACAGTTTAGTGGTGGACTTGGCAGTCCTGGGGTAATGGTTGGACTTGACAATCTTAAAGGTCTTTTCCAACCTAGTTGATTCTATGATATTATGTGTCCTAAAAAAATTAGATAACAAAATGCCTTATTATTGTTCCTTCTATACTGATTTTGTCAAATGCACTAAGCATTCCTGAAGTCTCTGAACATTGCTTGTTCTGATATTGGCTTGATGAACTACAGGGCTGTCATTTGACAAAAACACAACCTGAGGACATAGATAAATCAAAGCTAACAAATATGACCACTGCTTCCATGCTGACTCTTTGCTATGTAGCTCAGCTGGAGACAGCAGATGATGTTTCCAGAGCTGACAAGTAAGCAAATAGCGATGTGAGGAAATAATGTTCAGCACTGAAATATGAGGACAGGCACATAAAAATTCACAAAAGATTATAGCTTATTTCTTAGAAGGGGAGGTGGCTGCACTGGGCTCATAGTGAAATAAACTTACATGGAGACAAAGTATTCTTAATTTTTCAATTCAGTAAAACCTATGCAAGATTTCCATACCACACCTTTTCTATTAGGATAAGGTTTGCGAGCTGTGCTATGTCAAAGTTTCCATTCATTTTGCTTTCTTTCTTATACTTTTCTCATTTTTAAAGTATGTATTTCCACAATTTCCTCAGTGTCATGCATCCTTGTGATCTTCTAGTTAGAGTAAAAGTAGATCTCCCCAGTACCTGCTAAAAACAGAGTTCATCCACAGATAACCAGTTACTGGCAAGTCAGTTCCATTATGCACCTTATGGCCAGAGAAAATGATGTAATATCAGAATTTCATACAGGAGTAACAAAATAAAAATTCCCATTTTCAAATTACTCTCTTCCTCATGATGAGCAAAAAAAACGGAACAGGCACAAATGAAAGGATTAAAAAAGATGTTCTCTATGAGCCTGTCAGTTCCTCTGATAAGTACTAGTATGATTTTTGTTATCCTTTTATAAGCAGAGAAGGGACCAAAATGTTTGTTGCCAACAAACCAAGTAGATGCTTTAATTACATCATCACAAGTAGAAAAAGGAGTAAAGGAGAGCATAGAAAAAATTCAGTGGGAAATTACTGATTTACTCACCTCACTCCAAAAAACATTTAGGTGTACACTAGATACTAACTTTTGTCCCTGTCTGTGAAGTCTATCCTTATTTAATCTTGGAGGGTATTCTCCTAATGTGTGGATATTTCACTTTCAACTACTTAAAACTTCCTAGGCTTGTAGATGGACACCCAACACCAGAAAACTCCACATTTTCAGAAGACTTTTTATGTTAAATCACCTCCAGTTTGCTGTTGGTTTTGTTTTCTCTTGATTTACATCCTCAGACAACATTTTGATGGCATTTATATACATACAGGTATGGAATTAGAGTGGAATTATTTTCACTCTGTAATCATAAATTGACCATCTAGATTAATCTGTTAAAACATTTTTAATACAAATATATGTATTTCACCTAGAACCCAAGTTCCTCCCATACCTAACAGGAGAGAAAAAGGAACCTCTAGGTACATCTCATCTCCTTCTATAAAGTTAAATCTAAAATATAGGAGGTGACTTGTGCTAAACATGCCTACTTCTTTCCACTGTATATAAAGCTATCTTGGACAAGTGGTTCAGATTTTAATGCTATACATACTTATAAGATGCACTCTCCTAAATTCCAAAGTCTAAAGAGATTTTTATGAAATCTCAAAGTTCTTATTTTCTTATTTTGGTGCCTTAAGAAATTTTATAATACATCCCTCAGGAGTCTTAAGTCTTGCTTAAACAAAATTATAAATACCTTTATTACCTAGGAGTTATTTCATACCACTTTGCACATCTAACCTAGTCTAACTTTTATGAATTACTTAAAAGAGGAACCTAGTGATTGTGTGTTTACAGTTACATAAACTGTGCTGAATTTCATCCTCTGGGTGTTCTTAAATGGTCAAAATTTTTATTACTCCTCCTTAGAAGAAATGCTATGAGATTATGTTACTGCTCCATAGATATCTTATGTTGTTTTCGTGCATGCATTCTATGTTTATGTCATCATTCTCAGTTCTTTCTAAACCAATGATAAGACATTTACTACTTGGGAGACTAAATAAAATATAAATTGCCTTTTATAATCTGAAACGGGATCCTTTCTCCATACCTTTCAGACAGTACTGTAAGGGAAATTGTACGGCTTTCATCAAGGACAATGAATTAACTGTAAACTACTATTCAGGTTGTGTAAAGATTCAACCTCTGACGATAAACTAGAATAGAGAGGATGCCAGCATTTCTCATGTTTTATAGATACAGTATGGAAATTAGAACTGCCCCAAGCTCAGTTTCACAAACAGACGTGTGAATTTCAAGTAGCAGTCTTGTTATACATACATATGATATGTCTTCTTATGATTGTAGAATCTGGGAAAAATAGTTTTCGTAAACTAAAAATGAGTGCAAAAAAAAATTTTACCAAGTAAGTTCTTTCCTGACTTGGAAATACTTTTTATATAAGACATGGCAGTGGAAATGATTAGACAAAAGGTGATTACTTCACAGGCTTACCAGAACTCTGTTAAAAGATTGTTGCAACCCCTGGTTAGGGTCACCAGTCCTCCAAATACAGGATTAAAAACCTCAGTAAAAACAATTTATGTAAAAGACCTCTTTCTCTCTCCTCTATCTGTCTTTTAAAGGATGAAGTATCTTTTCTGTGGCCCTTACAAGCAGCAAGAATGATTTCAAGATTCCTCTTTGATAAGAGACACTGAAAAGTAACATGCAAATTCAATATTACATCAGAAAATTTTCTCATTTGCATCAAGTTAATTAGCAGAGGTGTTCTTTTGTGGCACAGAGAAAATGAACAGACCACTGCACCCAGCCAGTTTTACTCCATACAGGAAAGATGTCCCCATACTAAATCAAATCTACAAAACCACAAATTGTTTTCTTGTATAAAGCAGCCAATAGTGGGATACTCGTTTCTAACTGCAACATATACACAAATGCGAAGTAATTTGTGGATATATTTATAAAATGTAAAGCAAATTATTTAAAATCATTATCTTGTATCATGTTTTTAAATTGTAAATTCAGTATTTACTGACACTTTCATAGGTACTCTGTTAACTGCAGTTCTTATTTTTCACTTTCTCTTGTAAAAGATGGAATCATAGAATCATAGAGGAATAGGACTGTACAAAAAGAGTCCAGCTCTCACTTAAACAGTGAAAACCAGCTCATAATCACTATAAAGTCCTGTGCCATTAGATATACAGCACCACTCTGCCACTTTATTAATTATTTCCTTTTAAATAGCAATCAGTGAATCCAGATGTCTGAACGTGAGAGACTGTACCTGTGGCATCTGGATCCTTCACAGATTCCAGAATTAAGTCTGCTATTGGCATTTGAACTGAATCACACTCTGTCTAAGTATTTATACTGCCTTTGGCTTGCTGTGTTATTGTGCATTTATTAATAAGCCGGTGTGCTTACATATTCTGTGCACTTTGGCAGAAAACTTATTCCCATTGAAGTCAAAGGGAGTTTTGCCATCAACTGCAAGAGAGCCAGGATTTCATCCTTTGAGTTTTCACTCACAGGGATAAATCGAGCTCACCTTAGGCAGGCTCTTCCATCCACTAAGCCCTCATTGCTTATCCATTAAAAAAATCTGCTAAAAGAAGAGGTTAAGCCAAAAGATCCTGGTTGCTCTGTCTTTATATTATCAGCACAATCATATATCTCCAATTTCAACAAGGGTCAGCACAGAACATGCTCAAATTGAGACTTTCAAAGCACTCACAGGATGGGTGACAGCAGGCAAAGAGATTTTGGCTCAAAGTTAAAGGCAGGATCCACTGGACTCACAGTTCTGCTACTTCCTTCTTGCTAAAAGCAGTCATGCACCATGTTGCCGTGGACGCTCCCTGTGGTGGTTTTGCACTTCCAACACTATTTGAAAGCCATAAATATTTATAGCTAAAGATATATCTTTAAAAAGAAGAAAAAAAAAACCAACAAAAACCACAAACATCACTGAACTCAAATCTTTTAAACTAAAATTCATCACATATTTTGTGAGCTTTTAAAAGCCTTTTAAAGACAGAAAACTCAGGAACAAATTCGAATACAAATCAAAGTAGTTTGAGAATGGGGTTCTTTTTCTTTAATCTTAAAATATTGTTTCCATGAAATGGGAATGAAAAGTGCTGGGAAACTTTCTGTGTACTTTTCAGGGTCCTGGTTATTTTGCCAAAGAAATCTAGGGCAAATTTATTTTAGTTAAACATTTATTTGGTGGCCACTGTTTCTCCAAAGATCATTTTGCTATCCTCACCATTAACCATTTGTTTCTCTGAATGCCAATAAGTGCCACAACATTCATCTACAAAGAGGTGTAAGGAAGTATCATTTATTAAGGAAAAGTTGCAGAACTAGTTTTCATAGTTCAAAATCTTGGGTTTTGCAGCTCAGTATCATTCAGGTCATGAACCATTCCCACTGCTATATAGTGAATTTTAAAACCTATCAATCCTTATTACCCCAAAGAATAGAATTAATAATATTTAAGGTAAATAGCTACATTTTTTTTTTTTTTTCATATGGTGGAATGCTTACCCACTAAGAAAAGAACAAAGGTTTAGTCGAACAGCCAAGTTACAGAGTAATTCTCCATGTGCTCACTCTTAGCCTGCAGCAAATGAAACTCTCAATGTCAGGTTAAGCTTACATCTCCTTAGGGTTAGGCATCTGTATGTCAACAGCTAGATCAGTTTAGCTGACATGGAATAACTTCTAAAGCCAGAATAAATTGAGCATATATCTGAGTTGAAAGTTGAATGCTAATATTTAGGTTTTATTTATTTTTATTTTAATAAATATAGTATTTCAGTCATGGAATTCTGAAATGGACCAGCATTTGGTTACAACACTTATGATCTGTCTGCACTTTATATCTGCTGCTCCTCAAAGCTACATAAATTCATACCTTTTCGGATTAACAGTATAGTCCAAATCTCTGCCTGTCTGTATATTTTAGCTTCCTTTTTCTAAGTGACAGGATATTCTGATTACAGAAACATGTCTGGCTCATAGATTTTAAATTTCCATTGAAAACTGCCTTTCTTGCCAGTTCATTGCCATGCCTGGAAAGCTTGCTTTTCTCTACTTTGCCCACTGTCAGCAATTATCTGACACTGGTCTCCTATCTTGTCACATGAGGTTATTATTTTGAGCTGGCATATTTTGCCTGGTTTTGCATTGGCTTCTGTGTATCTTTCTTCTGATCAATCTTTCTCTGAGAATTCATATGAAAACTGTGAGAGAGCTCAATATTGCTTACTGCTCTCTATGCTGACCCAGGCAGAATAGATTCTGAGGAAACCATGGATGTGGTAATGAACGGCCAACACATTCCTACCAGGAAAATAAAACAAAAAAAAGTAAGTGCACAGCAAATGCTGAGGAAGGAAACAACTTCATATTAATTTTTAAATAATCCCTGGGCATTAATCTTACTATACCTTCACCAGGAAACACTGCAGTTCAGAAGGAGTGGACATGGAGAGCATAACTGTTTCTGCCAAAGACCTAGGAGCCATAGTATGGACTTTTTGTGGACTTCAGACTAGTTTTGATCTAATTCTACAGGCAACGCAAGTTAGGACTGGAGAGCTTACAGTGCTCTGGTTTAA